AAAAAAACTTATCTACTGATCAAAAATAATATATTTACTGATCATAACTACTGACATTCGACATTATTTACTGCTCAAAAAAAATAAATTTACTGATCAAAAACTACTGGTCACTTTGTAAAAAAATAACTGACAATTCGGTATAAAAAACTGATCATTTAAATACGACCCTAAGTTTTTTAAGTTAAATTTATTTTGACTAGTTTCGGTCGAGTTTAATACTTGACTTCATCAGAAAATTTTACAATAAACTTATAACAACAACATAAAAATATAATTATAGGACATGGTACAAAAAATAGTACATGAAAAATAATAAAGAATAATAAAAGCCATTGTATCATTGTTCACCGTTGTTTCACCATGGTCAGTTAGTATTGTACCATGATCAATTGGTGTCGTACCATATTCTTGTATAATTTTAAAAATTAAAAACAAAACTCTATTACTTAAACTCATAAAAAGTATCAGAAGTAATATGTTATTATTTAATTTTAAGTATTGACTGTTCAGGTTTCTTTTTTACAAGACAATCCTGAAGATTATTCAATTTTTTAGAACCAACAATCGGTTTCATATTACAAATGACAGTATCAGAAAAACAAGTTTTCCAAAGTTCATGAAATCTAGTAGAGAAAACATGCATTCCTTTTGTGAAAGAGAAATGACATAAAATGTTAACTTCGAAATCGATATTAGCCTTCTTTGCATTATTATTATTATTCTTATCTACAGCATCTAAAAAGATTTTTCTTATTTCAGAATAATTCTTTCTTATAGGTACTGCACATTGAAATGTCTGTAAGACTCTTTCAAATTGTTTAAGAATAAAATATATTGGATATTTATTCAATAATAGTGACATACATATATGTATTTCTTCACGTTTATACGCATCGAAATTTGAAGAATACCTTATTGCTCGAGTAAGAGCTACATACGGAATATTCTTTTTTATATGTTGTGCATGTGTGCTTGTGAAAGGAAGAGAATATGGTTCATGTGAAGGTTTGTGAAACACTTCAGTTATCATTACTCCTCCTCTATTCTCAAGTTTCACATCAAGATACTCTGCAGTTGATCCTATAGATTCAGAAAGTTCAATATTACTATCGAGCCTATTCCAGAATCTTACAAGACCTTTTAATATATCTGCATGTATATTTGACATAATGAATAGATCATCAATATATCTATAGTATAATGAACATGTCCTATGAGCCCATTTAGATATTGGACGTTCAACAAAGTACATGTATGTATTTGCTGCTGTCAGGGTAAGTGGCGATCCCATCGCTCCTCCTCTTATTTGTTTATAATAAGACCCATCAAGATAGAAATAATTGTTAGTCATTACAAATCTGGTAAGAGCTAGTGTAATCTCTTTTTTAACACCATCGATTTGTTTTAAATTTGATGTTTCCATCAAACGTTTAATAGCTGTTACTCCTCCTTCCTGTGGGATCATTGTATATAGATCAGTAACATCCATTGTTATGAATGATGTGGCTAATGTAAGATTACTAGCCGACCATCTTTCTACTTGTTTAATTAGTTGAACACCATTAATAATAGTTGTATCAACTGCTAATCGATCAAATAGTGGTCTCAATAAACCATCTAACCATTTAGAAATCTTTATGGTAGGAGTTTTAAGACCTGCCATTATTGGTCGTAATGGTGTATTTGGTTTATGTGCTTTAGGTAAGAAATAGAGATGTGCTAATTCAGCTTCATCTTTATGTACTCTTAAACTTTCATATTGCTTTTGGCTAATATGTTTACTAGTCCATAAACCATAGAGTAGATTATTTGTCCGTTCAACTAAAGATTCAAGTGGATTTACGTTACCCAAATCTTGATATGCTTTAATTTTATTCATATAAATTTGTGCTTTCATTTTATAATCAATAGATTTACCAAGATGAAATACTTTAGATTTATCGGTTTTTCTAATGATTGTATGTGTAGTTTCAAATTTATTTAATAAATTATTAATTTCTTTTAATTGAACAGAAGTAGGATATCTATCATGACAATCGATTAAGATCTTTTCTAGTGTATCTATAAAGATTTGTAATCGTTGTTTAGGTAATATCCATAAATGTTCAACAAAGATTTTATTTATTTTCTTAACAACCACATCAATCTAATTCGTTATACGTTTATGAGCAAGATCAGGGTTATTAGGAATATATTTAGGGCCAAGTTTAAGAAGGGCCACTTCTCTTCTATTCAAGTCTATATTAGCTTGATTGATTATACTTGGAGCACAAAATCCTTTCGTAATACAGGAGTCATCTGTTGTGCTTTTTGTATTTCGAAGGACGTTTCTGGAACGCTTCGTTCGGCTAAAAAAAGAATTTCTTTTTCTGTTTCTAATGAAGCTCTTTTTAGCGAAGTTTCAATATAATTATTATATAATACTGAACCTTTTTCATTCAAAGGCTTTATAGATTGTTGTGCTCTTTTAGATACTGTTGATGGTGATGGTGTTGTTGATGGTTTTTGAGTAAAAACTCCATCAGTATCATTACCATCTTCATCACCACTAATCTGGACATCAAAGGTGTTTGCATCAGTATTATCACCTCTTGCACTAACTGAACGAAATGTTGGCGAGGGTGGTTTTCGTTCTTCTTCTTCGGCTTCATCTTCTTTATCTTTTGGAAAATCTTCTCGAAGTTTTTCTAATTTTTCATATTGAAAAACAGACTCCTCTCCTACG